TGATAAAGAATGATGTTGATTATAACCATTTGAGACTTTAGAATTTATCTAGAAGCAAGAGAAGGGGTTATTGGGTATAGAGACACCATTAATAAGGGCTATGAAGCTTTATTCTCACCAAGTGTTTGAGAAAATGCCTAAGTAACCAAAACATGAGAATTATTGCTAATATGGAATCCCTTTTGACTTGTATTGATATAGATTAAAGTTGAAAGAGTTGGCGAATGTTGTATTACGCTCAAGAGCAGGAAGTTAAGGTATGTGAGGCTAACTCTCTACGCTTGGGAATATTAATAATTCTCCCTACACTACGTTTCTTTTACGACGTATCAATTGCCTCAGAAATATAGTTAAGCCTAGTTCCTTGAATAGTTGTAGAACTTCTATTCTCTAGCTTCATAACTCGTTCATGACTTTCATTCTGAACGTTGTGAGCTCAGTGCGTATTCAATATAGACTTGGGTTTAATATCCCCGAGTCTTAGTATAGATTACTCAGTATGCCATAAATAGTTGAAGTTTCAGTGTTCATAATCAGTTCAAGAATACATGTCTCAGTCTAGTCCTATTCAGTATTCCAGTATTCTGTAACTCAGTGTGATCTAGTATTCCAGTATTATGTAACTCAATGTGATTCAGTATTTCACTATCATATATTGCAGTATGATTCTCAGTTCCTGATTTTAAATCCCTGAATGTTGAACACTTGTATTTGGGCCTGAGGCCGCAGTTTATGCTTCATGCATTTTGGACCTGAGGTCGCAGTTATGTATACGTATACTTGGGCCGAGGCCGCAGCTTGTGCACATATATATATATTGGGCCTAAGGCCGCAGTTTAATATTCAGATAAACAGGTTGTTCATCATTCAGAAGATGCAGTATTCATATCCTTACTTCCTTTCAGTTCAATTATTAGTTATCGTTCAGTTATCAGCTATCATATCAGTTACCAGTTATCAGTTCAATTACAAGTTATCAACTCAGTTATCAGTTATCATTTCAGTTTCAGTTTGAATAGTTATCATTTCAGCTATCAATTATAAATTCTCAGTTATGAGCTTAGTTTCAGTTTCAGCATTTATAATTCTTTCTTTCAGTTGCTTTACATACCAGTACAATTCAAATATACCGACGCCCCTTTTGCCTGGGGCCTGCATCTCACAATATAGGTAATGATTTACAGGTTGATGATTCCGAGCGCTAGGATTCTCGTACCAGCTATTTGGTGATCCCTAGTTCTTTCGGGGCATTATCATTACTATAGCCTTCAGTATTTTCAGACAGTCAGTGTTTACAGTACTTTATTAGTGGCATCATAGACTAGAGTAACAGTTAGACAGAGTCTCACACTTTTCATATTAAATATGTTGGCTACAAATATGTTTCAGAATTGTATTAGTATTTCCGCACTTTGATTTATATCATCCAGACTTGCAGTATATCAGCATGTGTTAGTTTATCTTCCGCATTCAGTATGTTATGATACCACATGTTGATTCAGCCAGCCAGTTGGTTCGCTCGGTCACATGTAGTCAGGCACCGAGTGTCGTGTTACGTCCAGGCCCAGGTTCGGGGCGTGACAACTTGAATCAAAAGGCCTTTACTACCTTAACTCACTCAATTCCTCCAAGGCATGTCTAGTTACAGATCCTCCGAACCTAATTCACAAACGTTTAGGACATCCAAGTTTATCCAAGCTTCAGAAGATGGTGCCTAGTTTGTCTAGTTTATCTACATTAGAATGTGAGTCATGTCAGCTCGGAAAACATACCCGAGCCTCCTTTCCTCGTAGTATTGAGAGTCATGCAGAGTCTGTTTTTTCTTTAGTTCATTCTGATATATGGGGTCCTAGTAGAGTCAATTCAACCTTGGGATTTCGTTATTTTGTTAGTTTCATTGATGATCATTCAAGATGTACTTGGATTTTCTTAATGAAAGATCGTTCTGAGTTGTTTTCTATATTCCAGAATTTTTGTGCTGAAATTAAAAATCAATTTGGTGTTTCCATTCGCACTTTTCGTAGTGATAATGCTTTAGAATATTTATCCTCTCAATTTCAGCAGTTTATGACTTCTTAAGGAATTATTCATCAGACCTCTTGTCCTTATACCCCTCAGCAAAATGGGGTTGCAGAGAGAGAATAGGCACATCATTTAGACTGCTCGCACACTTCTCATTGAATCTCATGTTCCGTTGCGTTTTTGGGGCGATGCAGTTCTCACAGCTTGTTATTTAGTTAATCGGATGCCTTCATCTCCCATCCAGAATTAGATTCCGTATGCAGTATTGTTTCCCCAGTCACCCTTATACTCTGTTCCCCCTCGTGTTTTTGGGAGCACTTGTTTCGTTCATAACTTAGCCCTTGGGAAAGATAAGTTAGCTCCCCGTGCTCTCAAGTGTGTCTTCCTTGGTTATTCTCGTGTTCAGAAGGGATATTGTTGTTACTCACCTGATCTTCGTAGGTACTTTATGTCCTCCAACATCAGATTTTTTGAGTCTAAACCTTTCTTTGCCTCTTCTGACCATTTTGACCACCTTGATATATCTGAGGTCTTACTTATACCGACCTTTAAGGAGTCTATTATAGCTCCTCCTTCACCTTCTGCCACAAAAGTCTTACCCATTCCAAGAGTTGGGGAGTCTAGTGTGGCTCCTCCTACACTCCCTGCCACAGGAACACCACTCTTGACATATCATCGTCGTCCGCACCCAGCATCAGGCCCAGCTGATTCACGTCCTGCACCTGACCCTGCTCCTACTGCGGACTTGTCTCTTCCTAGTACACCGATTGCACTTCGGAAAGGTATACAGACCACCCTTAATCCTAATCCCCATTATGTCGGTTTAAGTTATCATCGTTTGTCATCACCCTGTTATGCTTTTCTATCTTCTTTGTCCTCTGTTTCCATCCCTAAGTCTACAGGTGAAGCATTGTCTCATCCAGGATGGCGACAGGCTATGATTGATAAGATGTCTGCTTTACATACGAGTCGGGGCAAAGCGACCGGACCAGATGAGATTCCAGTAGAGTTTTGGAGATATGCAGGTAGAGCAGGCTTGGAGTGGCTGACTGGGTTGTTTAATGTTATCTTCAGGACAAAATGGATGCCTGATGAGTGGCGGTGGAGTACAATGGTTCCGGTGTACAAGAACAAAGGGGATATCCAAAATTGTAACAACAATAGGGGTATTAAGTTACTAAGTCATACCATGAAAGTTTGGGAGAGGCCGGTGGAAGGGAGGATAAGAAGGGCAGTGTCTATATCGGAAAACTAGTTCGGGTTCATGCCGGGTCGTTCTACCACGGAAGCTATCCACCTTATCAAGTGGTTGGTGGAACTATACAGGGATAGGAAGAGGGATTTGCATATGGTGTTTATTGACCTGGAGAAGGCGTATGACAAGGTCCCTAGAGACGTCCTTTGGAGGTGCCTGGAGGTGAAAGGTGTGCATGTGGCTTACATTAGGATGATAAAGGATATGTATGATGGAGTTATGACTCGGGTTAGGACTGTAGGAGGTGACTCAGAGCCTTTCCCGGTTGTTATGGGGTTACACCAAGGATCGACGCTCAGCCCATTCTTATTTGCTCTAGCGATGGACGCATTGACACACCATATCCAAGGAGAGGTGCCATGGTATATGTTGTTCGCTGATGATATAGTTCTGGTTGATGAGACGCGAGACAGCGTTAATGGGAGACTGGAGGTATGGAGGCAAGCCTTGGAGTCTAAAGGTTTCAAGTTAAGCAGGACTAAGACGGAATATGTGGAATGTAAGTTCAGCGACGTGACGGGGAAAGCGGATGTGGAAGTCAGGCTTGACTCACAGGTCATTCTCAAGAGAGAGAGTTTTAAGAACTTAGGGTCAATTATCCAGGGAGATGGGGAGATCAACGGGGATGTTACGCACCGTATTGGGGTGGGGTGGATGAAATGGAGGCTAGTGTATGAAGTCTTATGTGACAAGAATGTGCCACCGAAACTCAAAGGTAAATTCTATAGAGTGATGGTTAGACCAGGCATGTTGTATGGAGCTGAGTGTTGGTCAGTCAAGAATTCACATATCCAGAAGATGAAAGCAGCAGAAATGAGGATGTTGAGATGGATGTGTGGACACACTAGGCTGGATAAGATTAGGAATGAAGATATTCGGGAGAGGGTGGGCGTGGCTCCCGTGGACGACAAGATGCGGTAAGCGCGGCTTAGATGGTTCGGACACGTTCGGAGGAGAAGCCTAGATGCACCGGTTAGGAAGTGTGAGCGGTTGACTTTGGCGGGTATGAGAAGAGGCAGAGGGCGGCCAAAAAAATATTGGGGTGAGGTGATCAGGCAAGACATGGCGCGGCTTCAGATTTCCGAGGACATGGCTCTTGATAGGAACATGTGGAGGTCGAGCATTAGGGTGGTGGGCTAGGGGGTAGTCGAGAGTTCTTCTCTCTTCGTACCGGGTAGACAGAAAGAGTTTTGTTTAGGTTTGTTAGCGGTCTATGCTGTGTTCACATGGTTGGTTGCATAGTTTTGTGTTATTGTCTTTTCCCTTATTCGTCGTTGTTATTTTCTTTCTGGCATCTTTTATTGTTACATGCCTTTTCTTTTGTTTCTTTTCTGATATTATTGTCTCTCTTGTTTAGCCGAAAGTCTCCTCGAAACAGCCTTTCTACCCTTTTCGGGGTAGGGGTAAGATCTGCGTACACTCTACTTTCCCCAGACCCCACTGGTGGGATTTTACTGGGTCTGGTGGGATTTTACTGGGTATGTGTTGTTGTTGTTGTTGTCGTTGGGTGTATGCAGACAAGGTTGGTCCGGATGGTAAGGTTGATCGTCTTAAGGCTCGTCTTGTTGCCAAGGGATATACTCAGATATTTGGGCTCGATTACAGTGATATCTTCTCTCCCGTGGCTAAGATAGCATCAGTCCGCCTTTTTCTATCCATGGCTGTTATTCGCCATTGGCCCCTCTATCAGCTAGACATTAAGAAGGCTTTTTTACACGGTGACCTTAAGGATGAAGTTTATATGGAGCAACCACCTGGGTTTGTTGCTCAGGGGGAGTTTCGTGGCCTTGTATGTCGCTTGCGCCGGTCACTTTATGGTCTAAAGCAATCTCCTCGAGCCTGGTTTGGTAAGTTCAGCACAGTTATCCAGGAATTTGGCATGACTCAGAGTGAAGCTGATCACTATGTATTCTATCGGCATTCTGCTTTGAGTCTCTGTATTTATCTGGTGGTCTATGTTGACGACATTGTTATTACCGGCAATGACCAGGATGGTATTACTAAATTGAAGCAACATCTCTTTCAACACTTTCAGACTAAGGATCTGGGCAAACTAAAGTATTTTCTGGGTATTGAGGTCGCTCAGTCTAGCTCAGGTATTGTGATCTTACAACGGAAGTATGCCTTAGATATTCTTGAGGAGACAGGAATGACAGGTTGTAGACCTGTTGACACTCCGATGGATCCGAATTCTAAACTTCTGCCAGGACAGGGGGAGCCTCTTAGCGATCCTGCAAGATATAGGCAGTTGGTTGGTAAATTAAATTACCTTACAGTGACAAGACCTGACATTTCCTTTCATGTGAGTGTTGTGAGTCAGTTTATGGATTTTCCGTGTGATAGTCATTGGGATGCAGTTGTTCGCATTCTTCGGTATATAAAATCATATCCAAGCAAAGGTTTATTGTTTGAGGATCGAGGCCATGAGCAGATCGTTGGATACTCAGATGCTGATTGGGCAGGATCACCTTCTGATAGACGTTCTACTTCTGGATATTGTGTCTTAGTAGGAGGAAATTTGGTATCTTGGAAGAGCAAGAAACAGAATGTGGTTGCTCGGTCTAGTGCAGAAGCAGAATATCGAGCAATGGCTATGGCGACATGTGAGCTAATTTGGATCAAACAGTTGAAATTTGGTGAGATTAGTCAGATGGGACTTGTGTGTGATAATCAAGCTGCTCTTCATTTGCGTCAAATCCAGTGTTCCATGAGAGAACTAAACACATTGAGATTGACTGTCACTTTGTCAGAGAAAATATACTCTCGGGAGATATTGCTACAAAGTTTGTGAAGTCGAATGATCAACTTGCAGATATTTTCACCAAGTCTCTCACTGGTCCTCGTATTAACTACATGTGTAACAAGCTCGGTACATATGATTTATATGCACCAGCTTGAGGGGGAGTGTTAGATTAGTTATGTAACCCTAATCCCATATGTATTAGGAGTAGGACACGTTATGTATACATATAAGGCTCATTGTATCATGTTTAACATATGAGAATAATATCAATCATATTTTCTCCCGTGCATTCTCATAGCATTAGTTAGAAGAGCACCCTGATGCTGAAATTTTTGGACAGGAGAAACAATCATCTTTACAAAAAAGCATGATAAATAACAGTGTCAAACAACTGAATCAGCATGACAATTACTTCTAGTAGATGAAACATAAGAAAGAATAGCATCTTATTGTTTACATGTTTGAGCAGACAAAATATTATACCTCTCGTCCAGGCGCAATCTCCACAAAAACTCCATAAGGTGCAATAGATTTAATCTCACAATTCCTGATTAGGCAAAAATGGGAAATACAAAAGCGCAATTAATCAAAACCAGAAACAATTCAACAGTTTAATAGATTTGATAAATCAGAAAATTAGGCATCAATGGCACAAGAAATATGCGAAGTACGAGAATGATGCCCAGGAGTTGCATATGTTGAGCAACTGTAATGCAGATCTCAAAGCTACAAAAAAGATCTCTGGATGTTTTAATGAAAAAGTTCACTTTAATAAGTAGGATTGAAAGGAGACCTATATATGTCACCAACAACCGGAACCATCGTTAGACTACTTATGATGGCTTTTGACTTTTCCAAGCTTGACAAGTCCTTTGCAGTTATTTTTACCTGTAATAACCTCATTAAGATTTTAAAAGTCATAATATTCAAATTGACATGCTAATCAAAAACTAGAAACTTAGTTTTTCTCCCTAACTGACCACGCCATCATCTTGTGTTTCAATAGCTTCAACACCAGTTTCTTCAATAATGCTCTTCACCTTCTTCCCCCCAGAGCCAATGATGAGGTTTATTTTTTCTGGTTTAACCTATGAAATCATTGACAAACATGATTGAAATCTGTTCATTTAATCACCACTACAGATGAAGCGAGCATCAGATAGACAACAGACCTTCATAACATGGATTAGCGGAGCATGCTTTGAGAGCTTTCTTGAAGGGGGTGGCAGGCATTTTGACATCTCAGCTGAAGAGCACAAATTAAAAGAGCCAAAACAAGTTCATCAGGAGAAGAATGCAATTCGAGAAGTTGTAAAGAAAGTTATCAACAGAAGAAAATTCTGAAAGAAAAAACTTTGAGATTCATTATTCTTATAAATGTCAAAATGCACAACATGCTAATACAACAGACAACAATATGCATGCTAAATGTTATACTTCCTCTGCCACAGTTGATAAAATCCACTTTTGAGGCATCTCTTGAAATTTACAGTGTAACAGCTTTCAAACTTTCATGAAATCTCACCTAACAATTCAAATTTTTATACCAAGGCTCATATTTTCCAGATGAAGCAACTATTCAACTACTCCAATATTTTCTGTGCTATTACCATTATTATATATTATATACGTAGAATGTCGTTAACAAATGTACTGAACTAAAGCGCCCACATAGAAGGGGATGAAGGGAGTAATGCAGAATATGCAGAAACTTCAAGAGAGAAAGAAACGAAAGGAGAAACTATATATTGAAAAGAATTTTAGCTGTTGCAATTCCCTTTCACGGGGAGAATGTTGTTTCATAACGGAAGTGTAATCTACAAGCACTATCCTAACACGTCAGGAAAAGCCTAGAAGCTGAAATAAGTATCTACTGAGACTAGGATTTTTCAAAACGAAAAGCGCAAGCGACAAGGTTCTTGGAGCTTGAAGCGAAAAGCGAGAAGTGAAGCCCACGCTTCTTTGAAGTTGTTGAGTCTCCCACATCGGCTAAGTGATGGGGGACTTGGTCTCCTTATATGGCTTGGGCAATCCTCACCTCATGAGCTAGCTTTTGGGGTTGAGTTAGGCCCAATGTCCATATCTTATCATGGTATCAGAGTCGGACCCATCCCAATTCTTTGTTTCACCGATGTTGGGCCCCCATATTATATTGTCCACGTTCCAGTTGGCACGCCTGGACGTGCCGGGGGGTGTTGAGTCTCACACATCGGCTAAGGGATGGGGGACTTGGTCTCCTTATATGGCTTGGGCAATCCTCACCTCATGAGCTAGCTTTTGGGGTTGAGTTAGACCCAATGTCCATATCTTATCAGAAGTGAAACGCATAATTACAGAAAATTAAAAATACAAAATATATATAAAGTTAGTACTAATAATCAATTTAAAATGCAAAACATATACAAAACGCTAGGCTCTGGAAACCAAACCTGGAGCCTAAGGGTTTCAAGTTGAGCAGGACTAAGACATAATACCAGGAGTGCAAGTTCAGTGGACATAACTCATGAAGCGGACATGGAAGTAAGGCTTGGGACACCAGTCATCCCCAAGAGAGGAAGTTTCAAGTATCTTGGGTCAATAATCCAAGGTAATGAAGAGATTGACGATGATGTCATCTATCGTATTGGGGCGGGGTGAATGAAATGGAGGCTTGCATCCGGTATCTTGTGTGATAAGAATGTGCCACCACGACTTAAAGATAAGTTCTATAGAGTGGCTATTAGGCCGATTATGTTGTATGGGACGAAGTGTTGGCCAGTCAAGACCTCACATGTCTAGAAGTTGAAGGTAGCAGAAATGAGGATGCTGAGATGGATGTGTAGGCCTACTAGAAGAGACAAGATTAGGAATGAAGACATTCAGGACAAGGTAGGAGGTAGCCTTCGTGGTAGACAAGACGCGCGAACCGAGGCTGAGATGGTTCGGGCATGTTAACAGGAGAGGCTCAGTTGTCCCAGTGAGCTGGTGTGAAAGGTTGGCCATGGTGGGTCTGGCGAGAGGTAGAGGAAGACCAAAAAAGTATTGGGAAGAGATGATAAGGCAAGACATGGCACATCTGCGCTTACTGAGGACATGGCCCTTGATAGGAATGTATGGAAGTTGAGAACTAGGGTAAAACACTAGTAGGTAGTCAGGCGTTTATCCTTATCCTACCTGTAGCATCAATAGTATTCTCCTACTTACTTATACTTAGATCCTTATTATTACAAGGTTGTTTCTTTTGCTTCAGTGTTCTTAGGATCTTGCTGCTTTTTGTAGTGCTTCATGTTACTGCTTCCTTTTCATGGTTTCTCCACTTCTGTATTTCTTTTCAATAATGTTGTGACTATGCTTTTTCCGAGTGGAGTGTTTATCGGAAACAATCTTTCTACCTTCACAAGGTAGGGATAAGGCTGCAAACAGACTACCCTCCCCAAACCCCACTTGTGGGATCACATTGGGTTTATTGTTGTTTTTGTTGTTGTTGTTGTTGTACTAATAATCAAATTGTAACAAAAATAAATAATTTCAACATCTTTTTACTATAATGTCGATATTAATCCAACCTTAAAGTTGAGATCAAAGAACCAACCGCTTTTCGTTTGGATCACTTATGCGAGTCACTATCTGAAGTGCACACTTCACCGAAGCGCATAGCTTCAACTGTGATGCAATAACCCCTCGCTTCGCATCGCTGCACTGAAGCGCATGGCTTCAACTGTGAAGCGATAACGCCTGCTTTGCATCGCTTCATCCTTTGGCTTTTAATAACAGTGACTTAAACTAATCAGATTACTAGTGTCAAACAACAGAGAGTTGCCTGATTCTGCTGCACAACATCATCTTTCAGATTAGGGATAGAAGTAGCCTGAACAGGAGTATAGTAGCTAGAGGAAGCTTTAGGACTTTGTATATGTAATATATCACTAATATGTGAAGGGGGCTGATTATGGTGTTCTAGGGAACTGGTTAAAGTGGAAATGCGGGTGCCCCTCCTGCAATGTAATGAAGTCTTTTCTCTTCAATTGAATGTAAAAGACAACATGTATATTCTTTTTAAATAAGTTACTATTTTTTTTTTTGGAGTAATTAGAAGGTAACATATAAATCTAATAAAAGAGCAAAGTTGCCTTTGAAGGATATTTTTCATTTTTTAGTTCATTGAGTTTAAACTGTTTTTTACATCCAAGAATTTCAACAGCCTAAGGGTTTTATTATTTATGAAAAATAGGAAGTTATAGGGACCTTGATTATTGCCTTAGCTTCTTAGTGAACACATTAAGGAGCAGTATTGGGAAACTTCAGTGCTTCTGGGAAGGAATTTAAGGAATGTAGCCATGCTTTTACATCCAAAAATTTCAACAGCACAAGGATCTTATTATTTATGATAAATAGGCAGTTTTAGGGTGACCGTGATTATTACCTTAGCTTCTTAACAAGCCCATCAGGAGCAGTATTAGGGGACTACCGCGCTTCTGAGAAGGAATTTCGGGAACGTAGCCATAACTTACTTAATGGCACTAGACATGACAAATTTAGGATATTTTTAGGATTTTCCTTAGTGGGTTCAATAATAGCTAGCTATGAGCTATCTGTTGCAGAGTAGACTGGCTTATTCCTAACAATTGATGCTTGATGATTTGGCTAACACACTGACTTCATTTCCCCGTTTAGTAGCCCTTCATATGTACCTCAAATAGTGTGCTGCACCACAATCACATGACGTGTAACAAACTGGTTGCTTGTCGAAACTATTTTTTAAGAGTGTGATACTACATGCAGTTTATCATTACCAAGAATGTGCTTTCGTCCATCTTTTGCTTGTAAGAGAGCTTGTTTCATGATTGGCAACGTAATTCCTCCTACCTGGCACGAAATAAGCAAAAAGAGTCGAGCAAGTTTCGAACAAACAAAAGAAACCAAAACCATTTCTGCCGTTTGAACTAATTTAACTACTTGCTGCTGATAAACATCCAATATGTTGTGTATACCTTTATGTCCATCTGAAACGCGGTAATACCAACATCACTTCCAGCAACCTGTGCAATCAAAATCACACACTTTTAAGAGGCTTGCCTTCCAAATATCCATCAAAAGCCACCATACACTACATATTGAATAATGAACTAGAAATCTTTGTATGTACATACACTCTTTATAAGCAAAGTAGTATTGGAATACAGAGTGGTTACAAAGGATTCATATAGTTGATCACAACTGTGTTTGGTATCAAACTACAAACATCTTAAATGTTTTGCACTTTTCATTGGCGTGTTTTTCTGGCAACTCGATCATCCAAAGTGTCTAAATTACAATCAGTACTAGCCCCTAGCACTCACTATCTGTGCAGATAGTATTTGAGATATTGAATTTCACCAGTATTCACCCGGGCATGAGGAAAATATAATTTTAGAGATACTCCTGTCGATACATAAGATCTCCCTACGCAGCTCCTTCATCAGGTAAAGGAACGTTCAGTTCTTACCAGCAACTGAGCTTTGGACTATCTTAAGAGATTGGAAACCAAATGATGCAACCAATAAACAACTCAAGGAAATGCAGGTTAAAGAAAGAAATAACTCCTTGCTCAATTTAAGTGTCCTACATAGGATCTTTTTGTTATCAACTGTATTCAAAACAAGAAAATCAAAGAAGCAATAAAATGTTAGTGCAACAAGCAGAAACAGAAAATAACTCTGAGCCCACAAGTTGCTTGTGTATCGCTAAGGACATTAATCTCCTCACAGTTGCCCGCGGTTTCAGATTAATTCCTCTCAGGATAGAACAGAATAACTATTCTGTGATAGTGGCACTATAAATCACAGAATTTTGGCGAACTCAAATGGCGGAGTAAATCACACTTGATGCTTACTTTTTCTTTGAAAAATAATGCAGAAATGCAGAAGTGAGTTAGAGTTTGCAGATTTCGGTGTCTGTAATATGCTAATCCTCTGTATTTATAGCCAACGAAGTTAAGATCCAACAAGTGCAAAGGTGCCTGTTCATTTGAGAAGGTGTCTATTCGGCTGAAATTATTTAAATTTCTCTTAAATAGACTGTTTGGTCGCGAATTTGACCGTTGGAAAAAATAATGCCACGAATTTTCAAGTAAAATTTTTGCACAAAAATATCAGAAAAGGAAAATAAATTTGGTCCACAAACTTTATCACTCAATCATATCAATTGACCAAATCCAATTCCAAATCCAAATCCAAATCTGAATCCGATGCCGAGCAATGTCGGTGGCGTGAGGCATGCTCTCTTCTCAACTCTTTAAGAGCTAGAAGAAGTGCTTCTACATATAAGCACATGAATATTCCTCGTCCTTACCAATGAGGGACAAAGTTCCTTCGTAAAAGGAACCAATTCAAAATTCCATTTCCCTCCATTTTCCATCTCACCTTTTTATTTAATTAAATAAAACCCAACACTTTTCTCTTTTTTGGTTTATACCACTTGCTCAATTGGAATATAGGTTTTGCTGATAGGAAAGTCAATGGAATTTGGATACATTGAGGAGGAGAGTTTTGTATTGTGCGCCAAGAAGAGACTAATGGACATGAAAAGAAGCTAGAATAGATGGGCAACAAATGTTTTCAAATTGTGGTATTTTGGGGTATATAAAAATAGGGACAGGGTCGAGATCATTCTGGAATTAGGACTTACATATAAAGTAGTGGAGAAAACAGAAATTCACGACAGGATTATCTTGTTATAGCTTGTTAAGACAACAATTTCCTCAACCAATGCCGGACTCTAACAAAACTAACATGGGGAAGGATACAATCAATATCAGTAGTACTTTCCTCCGCAAATAGGATTAATTGTGAAAGCTAAATCCAAATTCTGGTAAGATATGAATACCTTGATCCAGGAGATTCCAAATGACCAACAAAACTTTATTGAGATAGATTTGAATCGACATATGGGTAGATATAGTGCTGTTCCGATTTAACATATGAGGATATAGTGATGGTAAAAGAAATACAGAGTGAAAGGTTATCTTAGAGATTCCCTTAATTTTTTATTTATCTTTAGCTAACACATACCTAATTGCAGCCAAATAGACTTCATTCTTACCGGAAGAAGTATAGGACCATATGGAAAGACCAGCCGGTTATGCTAGGAGAAGCTCTGATCACGCAACATGGACGGGTGAAACTGAATGTGAAACGAAAGAGCGGAACAAGAAAGGAGAACAGTTGCATGCAACCAAGAATTTGGTGGTGAGCACCAGACAACACAAACCAAATAGCATTTAAGGACAAGCTTTTGAAGAAGGACTACTGTGACTTGGAAGCAGATGTAGGCAATGAAATGGCAACTTGCATTACGAAAGCAGGAAGTTTTAGGTGTGTCCAAAGACCTAGGACCTCAACCACGAGACTTAGGTGGTGGAATGAGAAGGTGCAAATAGCTACAAAAGCAAAAAGGAGTGTTTTATGAAGTTAACAAAAGTCGAAAACTAAGATGTCTTTGAAGAACGTAAAAGAGTTAAGAGGGGCGCTACCAAGACTATTAGTAAACCCCGGTTGCTAGACTGTTCCTAGATTGGTTGAAGCAATGAGTTGTAGTCACTTTATACGGTCTCCGACAATCGTTACCTCATGAGTTAGGTTTGGGGTTGAGTTAAGTCCAAGATATTTTTATAACATGAGCCAGACACATAGCAATTAGTGTGCTACCCGATGTTTGGCACCCATGCTATACTACTGGTGCTCCATATGTATAGCCCTAGGCGTGCAGAGAGGTGTTAGAATCCCACATTAGTCAAGTCTATTGACTGCATAAGATAAAAAGTTTTCCTCAGTTTGCTTTACGTGGTTACTTTTTCAATGTTTATCTTTTCACAGATTTCCAAACATCCTCTAACTAACCAAACAGCCTTTACAGTAAAGGCAGCATTGCAGGCACATGAAACCCGCTCCAATACTTCATCTGATTTGCTCACTGTACTAGTTTAGCTATAATCATTGAACTGCAAAAATTCTAAAATAATTTTATTTAATCACACTATCATAAATTACAAGGACCTTCAAACATGGATGAATTGGCATAAATATGTAAGAACTTTTTTCAAAAAACATGTGATAGGAAGATGATAGAAACAATTTAAAAAGTAGTACCTTGAAATCCATATCTCCTGATGCATCTTCAGAACCCAATATGTCAGAAAGGATGAGTGGAGTTCCATCTCCACCAAATTCCTTTGTGTCCAGAACCATACCCATTGCAATGCCAGCGATAGCACACTTAACAGGAACACCAGCATCTTGCAATGCTAAGCACCCACCACATACAGATGCCATACTGCCACATAAAGAAGATAGATGTCACAGAAAGAAAAATGGCAACGAACTCTGGAAAGACTAAAAAGGGACTATCCCCTACTTTTTTCAGGTTACTGAAATAAAACCCTTTCAACATAGTTAAGGTAGAAAAAAAGAGCAGCTACACATACATACATGACACATTCTAACATGTTTTAAGCGCTCTACCTCGATGAGCCATTGCTTTCAGTGATGGTACTCTCAACACGAACAGTGTAAGGGAAGTCATCTTCAGGAGGCAGTATTGGTCCAAGAGCTCTCTCTGCAAGCATTCCATGACCAATTTCTCTTCTTGATGGTGCCCCTACACGCCCAGCTTCACCAACGCATGAGGGTGGAAACGAATACTGCATAAGCAAGCCAGCAGGTAAAGAAAATATCAAGTATTTCCTTGAGATACCAAGTGGAAAATCAAGAATTCACAAATAAATCTGTAACACAAAGCCAACAGAGGTTTGGAGATAAAAATTACAACTTCATTCATGGGAAATCAGAAAACGAACAAACATTATCAGCTTAATGATCTCCAGTGATTTCTAGAGATTAGAAGAAACCAAAAGAAGGAAAAGAAAAAGAAAAAAAAAGACATCTAGAATAAACACATCAATGGTTATTTAGGTCTCATTTGTTTGCACTTAATGGAGGTCTGAATCTTAATTATTCAGATCTCAAACATTAGGTGTGTTTGTTTTTAAAGTCTGTATCTTGATCAATGATTAAGATCTATAACAAAGACTTAATTTCTTTAAGATGCTATCATCCACATTCATTACTAATTGCCGCCACCGCCTACCATTATCAACTACCACTACCACTACCACCATACTCAACCACCGCCACCACCACCACCCTCAACCATAGCCGCCAATACCACCACCCCACCACCATCATCCTAAACCACAACCACACAGTCACCCACCTCAACTACCACAAACCCCATTACCATCAACAACCATAGCTGGCACCGCCCACCATGGTTGGGTGTAGGCAACATTTTTCATAAAGCAGGAGAAACCAAAAAAAAATGACAAAATATGACGATTGATTCTTGGTCATGGAAGTTAATTTGGAGAGACAGGCTGCCTGCTAAAGTCATATGCTTTAGTTGGACAGCTCTATATGATGCATATTTGACCCAGGATAATCTCAGAAAAAAGGAGCATTCAATTAGCTAAATGTGCAATCCAACTCTTACATTGTACAGTAGCTTCAGTGTTATGGAATATGTTCCTATCTATTTTTGGTGTTAGTTGGGCCATGCCACACAATATCAAGGAAGCATATATGAGCTGGAGCTCATACAACATAATAAAGCCATCAAGAATATCTGGCTAATGGTGCCTAGAAGTATCTTTTGGTGCATCTGGATAAAAAGAAAACAGAGATGTTTTGATGGAATCTCAACTTCGAGTCATACCCGGCAGGAAAGATGTTTAATGTAATCTTTTTTGCTGGCTCAAGCCAACCGCTGTATCTACCATTGACCATTTATTTTTTGGAATTTGTCAGTTCCTTTGTAATAGCCTAGTTTTTTGTCTCTACAACCGACACAATCAGTTTTCTATAATCTTAACTCTGTATTCATATCCTTGTTACTTTTGCTACTTGATGCCAGTAATGGAACTACTACTTCATAAGACTAAAAATAAAGCATTTTGTTGAAAAAGCTTGTCTAAAAGAATCTGAGCATTGATTCAAAATTTTTAAGGTAATGAGTGGAGTTGTTATGGACCATTACAAGTTTCTAAGGAAACCCTCATAGATCTGACACAAGACACATATATTCTCTAACACCTTTTGGACATGCATAACCCAATTTTAGGGGTATATCTGGAATGAAGATTCTTTTTTTTCTTCTTTGCTTGTTTTTGGGCCTTCTTTTTACTGCTTAAGTTTTTGTTTGATAAACTGAAGTGCCATAACATGCCAAAGAGTTGACACACTGAGAAAGTAGGCTCAACAGGCTAAAGAGTGGGCATGGAGTAGAGAGAAGTTGGTCCAACAGGCTAAAGAGCTAGTTTGAAGCAGAATCAGTAGCTCAATGGTTTGAAATAATAGAGAGAGGCCCAAATCGGCTCGATGGACCAATTGAGAGAGACAAACCTATATCTATAAGATAGGTAGAGAAAAAACTGTTCTGAGAACCAGTTGCCAAAGTTTTGCTCTGAAAATTTGGGCATCTAAATCCAAAAACTTAAGTAGTCTAGCTCCACTATAAACTCCTTTGAACACCCTTGCAGAATGGATGTGGGAAAGGTGTATTCTCTAACCATGGGAAATGCTCTTGTGATAGAATCCGTAGAAAATGAGGTTTTCAAAGCGGGTAAGTTATGGCAGCATAGGAAACTGTCTAATGACTTGGACATACTTATCACAGGTACTCATACCTGAAGATAAAATCTCTTGTATTCATCATCATCCACAAGGTTGTCTATCTTCTGTGCCATTTGCTTATCACCAAGTGTTACCACCGCCAATGACTGCAAAACCAAAAATTCAAGAAGCAATCAAGTACACAACAGAACTGCTATTGAATAGAATATATTTCTATCAAGTGTAAGCTACAAATTAACAAATCAGAATTCAAACCAGCTTGATACTACATCTTCACACTTTCAGAAACAAGATCCACAAGGGAAAGGAAAAAATGGTTCCCCCTCTGCAAAATCTGGGATCTCAACTCTTTATATTTCTGATTTTAGTTTGATTTCCTCAACCATACTATTTAGCTTAAATTAAGTAGAAGTAAAGGAAAAGTAAATACGACAAAAAACAAATTACAAACTTTAAAGCTTAAAAGAACATCAGTCATAAAAAATCAGGTCAATGAACTTTCTTTCATCATATGAGCAAATTCTGAAGAAACTTTCAGAGGAAAGACAAACCTGATGCTTGCAAATAGGCTAATTCAGTTGTGCATTTTACAGAATATAGAGGGAACAAACCTGTGTTTCACCTCGAGTGAAGAGAGCACTCCCATGTGCCCTGGGAAGCAGTCCACAGCGTGCGTCAATCACCCGTATCTCCTGAGGGGTCCTGCCATCACTTCTCTTACCTCTCTGAATACAGGGAAAAAAATGAAAAGCATAACTATAAACTAACTTAACACCAAGTTGAAATTCAGATGGAAAAAACTAATACTCAGGTGCAAAGACCAGGTCCTATAAATCCTAGACACATTTCTAACTCCTGAAATTTTTTTGACAGCTTTGCTCCGTCCCTCTGGTTAGAAACAATGACAAAGCATAACATCAACTAATTCAAAGGAATATGAAAAATGCGTTTGATGAAAAACACTCAACTCTGAGCATGGTATCGGAGTTCATAGACAGGTGTTTGCTCCAGATTTTTCTTTCCTGTTTTTCCTTCTTACAGGAGGGGAGGGGGGG